GAATTGAAATTAAAAATGTAAATATAAATATTATAATAAAAACATATTAACATATTTACAAAAAAACTATAATTGTATATAATATTATCTCAATAATACTAAAATAACACTGTTTAGAATGACATGAGTAAACAATAATAGCATTTTCTCCTTTAAGTAGTAATAATCAATACGAAACAATGGGTAGTTCAAATGTGTGTGTGTGTGTGTGTACCTGGTATTCCCAGAAAATACAGTTTGTGCAGTATAAAAATCATTTTATTTATGGAATGTAGTATGGAAATGGAAGTCTGAGGACACTGAGTATTATTTTCATACACTTGAGCTTTGGCTTTTCACAAGAGCGTTTATATTGTCATCCTCTTTTCTCTTAAATTGGCAGTGACGACCAAGACAAATTAAACAACAACCCCTGAAACCATAAAAATGCCCTGCATCAAATTAGGCTGTTATGTTTAGACTGAAAATGAAAAGGCTATTCCATTTAAACAAGGGGAGGTTTTCTTTGAACATATCTACGCTGTACTCAAACCAATTACCTGTGCGTGGGTCGAATCATTTCCTAAATAAATGATAAATGGAATAGATATAAGGAGAATCTCTCCCCGGCCTATTAAAAATGAGAAGAACTCTAATTTCCATTTCCAAGCCTAAAAGGAAAACAGAATCTGATCTTGTCAAGTGAATAAGCGCATACTTTATTAATGTCTATTCCTATTGCTTTTAGAGTTTCCTTTTAAATTCAGTCTGTCTAAAAAGCAAATTCCCTTTGGGAGGACAAGATCACCCTTACCATTTCGTCTCTGTTCAAAAATGCCCCAGTGACGATTAATGACGATATGAATGAGTCATGTGCGCCATATAGAAAAGTGCACCGTGTGCCATCAAAACGGATGTCAATATGTCACAGCCGAGCTGACAGCATGCCATAAAGTAAAATGAGACGTATGCCACAGCAGGTGTTGTGATAATGAATGGTTTTGTCATGAATGGTTCTCTCGGAAAGTGTGGAAGAGAGAGAGAAAAAAAAAAGATTTCTGACATTATGACATGAGATGTATGTAGATGGCAGATATTACATTCAAAAATAATTTTAATAATTTTACTTTTCATTTCTATATATATATATATAGGAAAACGTTGCCATATGGCAACAGTGTACCACAATGGAAAATTGTTTTTCTATTAAATTTTGATTTTCTTTTCAATTGAAATGCATATTTCTTTTACATATTGATGCATCCAATCTTAATTTCCATCAAAATCTGCCACACACATATAGACATATATACACACACACACACACACACACACTCATCATTACTGTCACTGAAGGCCAACTCATCCTCATTGTCATCACGTGGAAGAGCCAACTCTGCACTCTTCATATTGCCCTTACCGTGAAATATTGCTGTATTCATTTTCTAAAAAGAATCATTAATTTTCTTATTCATACATCAATACAACTATACTAAAATGAACACTTCAAATAAATAAATAACTGCAATCATATTATTGAAGTTACTATCTATAAAAAAATCGCAATGGGGAAATACATTACTTCAATTCCACTGTGGTACAGAGCTGCCATATGGCAACATTGACATTTTTTAAAATTTACAGTAAAATGGGCAATGTTGATTTTTGAATAAAAATATGTAATTTACTAAACAAAGATGATGCAAAAAAAAAAAATCCCCCTTAAGAAGAGATGTTCAGAAACGAGGTTAACAGAGCAATTTCTGGAGCACTTCAACAGGTGTCCTTCATGTGAGGGTGACAGTGGGAAAAAGTGTTTTGGAGGAACATTCAAATGTCATTTGACTTAAAAACAGCACATCATTGACTACCTTAAGGCCGGCCCTTTTAATTACCTTTTTAATTATTTTTTTTAAGGAAATACGTAGAAATGTATTGTTGCCATATGGCAACTCCGTTCCATAGAGGGATATATATATATATATATATATATATATGTGTGTTTTTATATATATATAAAGGATTTAAAAAATAGGTGTCCTTTTCTTAATGCAAAAACTGATTTTTACTTGATTTTTAAGGTGAAATGTTTGGACCAGTGTTATTTTAGTATGACTGAGATACTATTATAGTTTTTATTTATATTTTGAATCAGTTTGTACTATTATAATTACTGTTTTCATTTGAATTTTATTTAGAGTTTTAATAATTTTGTGTGTTTTTGTCATTTTAGTCGTTTTTTTTAAATCTATGTCTATGTAGTTTTTATGATTATGAATGTTTTTTTTTTCAGTTTTAGTTTTAGTTATTTTAGTGCATCAAGTTCAACTAAATTAAAATGAGAAATGTTGTCTTGGCAACTAACTAAACTAAAAAGTTTTTTAAAGTTTTTATTTTATTTCAGTTGACATTTATTTTATTTCAAATAACGAAAATGTTTAGTGGATTTAATTTTAGCTTCAGTTTTAGTTAAAGCGACAGTCCGTAACTTTTGGTGCTCTAGCGGTTAATAAACAGAACTGCGTGCGTCTTGCGGAAGAACATTGTAGCCGGAGCTACTTCTGTCTGTTTATGTCTGTGGCGAATCACGCAGGTACTGGGCTACTCCGCAGCGGTACCTACCCGAACCAGTCTAAATAGTCCGAATATAAACACTTATTATAGGTGTACCGTAGTGATTCAGGACAAGCCAAAAACACGGTTTGGAAAATGGATTCATGGTGTACTCGCTTATTATGTAAATTTTGAACACAAAAAAGTTACGGACTGCTGCTTTAACTATAACTATAACCCTGATTTGGGCATATTGTTGACCATTTTATAACTGGTTTTACTTATTGTAATTTTATTTTTAATATGATAACAAATGTGATATTTTGATGGTAACAATCCATTATGGTAACAAAATGACATATTCAGGTGTAAATACTGATATTCAATAGTGTAAATTTACATAAAATTAATATATATTCATTTTCAGGAACATTTAATGTTCTCTAGTTCTCAATAAATCTAACAGTTGACAAGCCATAAAATCCAGAAAGGCATTGGAACAATGAAGGGTGAGTAAATGATGACAGAATTTTCATTTTTGGGTGAACTATCAATTTTAAGTAAAAAAAAAAAAAGAGATCTTGTAATACAGCTTTTTATATTAAAATTAGACGTTTCTGTCAATGCTCTCATAACAATTTTAATAATGCGAAACAAGTTGAATCATCAGGCATATCACTGTTCTCAGATCAGCTTGTGGAGGTACATGCATTTCGAAACATTTCCTTTCTTTATAAAGCAACTGGAATACAACCAAATTAATGTGATATGGAGAATGATTGAATGTAGCCAGTTGTTCTTTTCAACACCTCTGTCCAGGACTTCCTGTGCTCCTGTGACACCGGACCCTTTGAATCTAGAAAGAGGACAGTGTCTGGAAATACATGAGAAGGATTTGCTGTGCTATCACCTTTAGACAAGAGTGGTCAGTGCCACAAACAATACTGAACTCAAAGGCTAAAAAAGGACAGGTATTAGTATTAATTTGCTGATTTTGTCTATACCTTAAATTGCAAGTTGTAGATGTTATTGTGAGAGATCTTTGATAACCGAACTATTAGGAGTTTTAGAAATGTTAAAAAATAGATTTAGCTTTGAAAGTGCAAATGGTTATAAAATACATTTATTTTGTAAATGTTTTAATGAATGGATTCATTTGTAAATATTATAAATGGATAGAATAGGCTATAAATGGATGTATTCATTGATTTATAGTTTTTCTTATTCAGAAAAGGTAAGATCAAGTCCTGTGACAAGAATTTAGTCTTGGCTATATGCATAATGAATGAATGAATGAATGAGTGAAGCTGAAGTCGGAAATGAAAACGAACAGTACCACGCGTGTTGTTTAACTTAAGAAAAAGATTTAAAGCACTTTCAGTTCTTTGGAAAGATGAGATGACAGTATGCTTTGGAATCTGACAGACTCTGTGTAAAGAGGAGCGCGGGCAGCAGCATCCACTGAAGCCACGCAACACCATCGCGTCCGTTTAGAATGACGCACGCATAACTGTGAGACAAAATATGCATCCAATAACTCTCCTCTCTACAGTTTCTAATATACCTACCTAATATGAATGAGAGACAAAGTATCATGTCCATTCAGCCTTCATTCCAAAGTACTAAAAAAAGAGCATATGAAACAGCATATCAAAGATTTGCCATTAATTTTATTTTTTGCATGACAAAAACACCCCATTCGATCAAAGCGCAGAGAATGAGGTATTATGTAACCCCTAAGCAGCGCCTCTGTGATGCTTTGATTTTAATCAGTGTGCGAATTAAATTCATTTTCGGGGTGGTATGGAGGAATTTTATTTTTTAGGTTATTTTTCAGGTCTTATAATCTGCGTCTCACGCAACCCAAATTGTTATTTTGCTGGATCAGCACAATTAGATTAGACGAAGTCAACATATGCATTTTAAACAAATGTTTTTGCGCTCTAATGTCATTTTGCCCTTTCACGTGATCCTTCTTGGTGGGTCCTCGTGATTCTTTCCAAGACATGAACTAAATGATTTCAAATTGAATGTGGGCTAGGGGTTACGCGGGAAAATATCTATCATATTGCTTACATATTTTTATGATTCTTTGTTTTTAAGTTATTTAAGCGCCACACGACATTAGCCTACACAATTTGGTCTGCATTTGACTCAAACGACGATGGTAACGCGATGTTGTTCAGAACGTTTTATATCCATTAAGCACAACGTTCTGATGGAAAATAAAGCAGTGACGTCGGTAGATATTCGTGTATGGTGTTCCAAATAAAACCGTGATGCGCCCTGTTCCCTCCAGAGAACACACTTCAAGTGCTATCCCCCTTCGGAGTGAGCGGGGTATAGTGATGCTCACTTTGGAATGGAATCGTCTCATTATGAAAGCTGTTCGGCGTTGAGCCTGCTGCTGTGCGCACGCGAGAGAATGAACCGGTTGGATAGGATGAAGACGCGCAGCCCGCGTGGGAACGGCACGGGTTAGTTTGCACCGGCGAACTCCGCTCGCGCGTCAGCAAGACTTCTTACAATTGTCGTCACATTCCGCTCGCAGGGCAACATGTAGCCGTACGCGAGCAAAATCCGAACGTCGATCTGCGCGCAGTAACGCCTCCTCGCTGTCATGTAAGGGCTTCATGTGAACGCATTACTGTTGACCGATGGGACACAAACAGAGGGTCACTCTCGGTGTGAGGAGGCAACGTGAAGAGGATCCGCCGTGTTTACAAGGAACGAATCGTTTTGAAGAAGAAACAGAGCAAATAGTGACAGTAGCTACTCTCAGAAAAGTTGAGTTCCAACCGCAGGGGAGCAGGTCGAAACGCTTATCATATCTAACAGGGAACACTGACTGAGTGTTGCGCGTGACTGGGATCGCGTCTAAATAAACACCTGCCTCCGAGGACCTTAAGAACTCAAACCTGACAGAAGATTATTTACCGAGGATTAAGCGTCCATTTGAATCACTAAATAATAAGGATATATCCGCCTGTATTAATAATAGCTCATCTGGAACTGGGTGAAAATGAGACAGCGGTTCAAACGCGCGCAGAATTCACCCGTTTATTTCCAGTTGTAAGCGCTGCCCTGACCATCCTTTGGGTGCATATCTGTTGTTTTTTCAAACAGAGGTCTGTCACCCCGGAGCGGAGCATCCGGACAGTTGCATCTGGAGCAAAGGAGCGCTGTGCTGTTTGAAGGTTTCTGCAGAATAACACTGGAGCAATGAGTCGCATCCCCTATCCAGAGGTACGACTATCACGCCATGAAAGCGCACAGTAGCTTAACTGGTAAAATGTTAGTGATTTTAACAGTGAAGCGAATGTAAACATGCTGCAATGCAATGAAAACCTTTTAATTGGTTAACTGTAAATTCCCTTCATATACGGTGTAAAATTGTAGAGGACAACAAGTGCAATTTTGGTGTAACACTGTTTAAACTACAACATATAAATTACCTTATAAAAATGCAATACACATACGTGTAAGGCAAATTGTTGTTTAAATCATATTTTTCCCCCCTCGAGAAAGAGGCTTTTCCAGAACCCTCACAATCCCACAAACCCACACAATCACAGTTGTTAAGATGTCATTTAAAAATATTCTCCTTATTTGTGTTCATTGTTATGTGCATTAGAGTGTTTTATGTTGCATTTTATGTTGCTTTAGACATATTTGAAGCATTATTTTATTATTGTGTGTATTAACCTAATGGTATTATGTTTGTGTGGGTAACACTGTGCTATTGTCAGTCTGTTGGTACTAGTGACAGTTACTATAGAGGCTTATTTTTATGCAAGTACATTGTGTGGCTTTCCATTGTATCACTAGTGTTTGGTGTGAGTGCAGTACAGTATCAAATAGATTTTAAGGACTCAAGTAGATTGGTATTTTTACAGTGTAATTTACATATACGGTCATAAAAAATATGCCTTTTAACAACGTTTAACAAAGTATTTTTTTACAGTGCACATTTTTGCCATTCAAATTTTTCCACACTAGTTGCGTTTATTATCATTATTATTATTATTGATGTTGGATTTAAAAAGTCTTAAATTGATGTTGGATTTAAAAAGGCTTTTCTTGTCCTAACTTTTGTTCTTTTTTGTTTGTCTTGTTTAAATATAGTAGAATAACACTTGTCATTAAACTATCATTTGACACTGAGATTTTAAGGGAAACAGTGGAGGTAATTAATGACTATCCTTCGACGGGGGAGATCATTGCCAATGTGAGTCAGCAGTGTGTGCTATTGAATTCTGTAGACAGTAAATACAAGCAGGGACAGGACACAATCCCCTGCCAGTCCTCAGCTGAGCCGCAAGACATTTGAAAAGAATGTAAATTCTAGCTCATAATAGAAGCTTGGCAATGCATCACAAGCATATCATAGATTCTAAATAATATAAAACGACATCACTGAAAGGTAAAGAAGAAAAGAGCCTTTATTTTTAGCCTTATAAAGGACGCAGCAAGTTTATTAGTCTCCGCTCTGGACCGTGGCCCAGTTTGGCACCATTACGAAGTAATGTGCTGAAACTCTGACAGTCAAAGCATACAAGCTTTCAGCTACCATTAATATGTGTTTTATCACTTCAGCGCTGCGGATAGTATTTTTCCCAGAAAAATGATTTGAGTGATGATTGATCGTATATGAGTTTTGAAATACTTAGCGAGTGAAGACACGGTCCTGTGATTTTGGCTTTGCAGCTTTTGCCAGTGTTATGAAATGTCCCATGTGGCTGGCAGGGGTGCAAAGAAGCAATTAGGATTCCATACAACTGCTAATCGACTTATATTTTACTCCTTTTCGTTGCCTCAGCACATCAGCGTGGTTGCTGTGATCTCAGAGGAAATTTTATATTCCAAAAAATGCGGTACCCACATTTAATTCCTGGCATTTGAAGGCTGACTAACCTTTTTCCAGCAGCTACAGAGGTCAAAAGGTCAGATCTGAGATGATTGACTGGTTGTGCTGATGATTGCGCTAAAATTGAGGCCAGAAGAAAACCGAGCCATCTGTGAAGAAGAAAGGCTTATGAATGTGTAATCTTGCCCTCTTTAGCCGTGAATGACATCGTTATCATTTCGTTCTCCTCCCTCTAGCTCTTTTGATAGCATATTTCCATCATGATGCCGCCGGTTGTTTACAAGTCAATTGCTTGCCCTTCATTTACACCTTGGCACACCTGACGGGAGCTTGGAAGGCATCCTTTACAACCCGTCCTGCAGGAAACGAGAATCTTTGAGGTCATTCACCCCACAGGACATGTGTTTGTTTGTGTGTTCATAGCACCCCCACAGGAAGAATAATTTCACCTGTACACACGACTCCTTCGGCCTGGTTAAGCACCGGAAGCTTTTGTCAAATTACAGTCGACCCAGTGCAGTTCAATAAGCACACAGGTCTAATTAACTAATCACAGAGATGTAAGGAGCGGAAAGGCTTCTCGCTCTCCACAGACCCAACAGCTTCGAGCTGAAGCTTTTAGATACAGACAAGCAACATTTTAGATGCATGCGGTGGGCTTATCAGTTTCTCCTCAAGATGTCACAATTTAAATGTCAGAAGAGCCACAGTCTATTTTGTGCTATTTGTCGTAGTCTGGTTTGCTTATAAATTTGCTGCCTTGATTCATTGTAGCGGTTGTGGCTATTTGGATTCTTTCACACAATAGTGTGCATATTGAATGGTGTACATGTCTCATTATGTTCTGTTTTGAAGAAGAATGCTTGCAGTCTTTTGGGAAAAGTTGAGTCTGTAGAGCTGGAACAACCTTTTTGAGGGTACTGTTGAGGTTTAGGGGTTTCAGACTCATCCAAATGCATTCAGCACTCACTGTGTCTTAGCAACGGCAGGTACAGCCCATTATTTTTGTAGTTTTAATATCCCAGAGGTCAATATCGTGTCTATGATTTAGCATGGTTCATGTACCGCAGTGTCTTTGCATGACTAATCAAACATGTACTGAGTATAAACACAGATGAGGATTCCCAGAGCAGCGAACAACCTCTTAAGTACTTAGAATTGGACTTTGCGTTGGGCCACATTGTTCTTTTTGACGACAGGCTCACTTTCTCATAACCAGTCAAGACGATTATTGTTTTTTATATATACTGCAATGTAAATGGTGGCTTATTTAGTGCTAAAGCCCTGCTAGGTATTTTGTGTCAGCGCTGTGTCTCTTTTAGGAGCTCTTTCAGTGATTGCTCCTCTGCCGCATCTCCTGGAAATGTAGCTCATAATAATGACGTTAAGTCATTTGGGAGTTCCTTTTCTGAATGTATCCTTTCAAATCCCCTCTGCAATTCTCAAACTCTGAAAACGAGCTTGCTGCCGAGAATTGCAGGATCTCGAGTTTTCCAGCTCGTTGCCATTTAGGGATGGTTTTTATATGCGACCTTACGCTCCTCTGTCACTCAGAATTGAATAGCTTCAGATCATATTGGTCTTGAATTGGTTGTTTAAATATTTCTTGATTCTCCGCTCTGGGTGTCGTGGGAGAGATTTGGGGAAAGTATGAAATGAATGTTATGAAAACAGAGATTAGAAGCAATTGTTCACATAGCTTTCATCATTGCAAACTGCATTAATGGTATTTTCTCATTTTCTCATTACCAGAACAGGCCACAGTTTAAATCAGTAATTCCCAACCAAGTCCCAGGGGGTTCCAGAGGGTACTTGGAAACATTTTTGTTCTGCTTCTTTTAAATTGATAAAACAGAAATACTACTATGCAGAATCTATGTAGGATTTAGTAAATGCTACTACTACTACTAATAATAATGGGTTAAATGAAGATCAATCTTATATTGAATTCTATATTTTCAGTTCCTTTTTAAGGAAAGAAAGCACAAAGTATCACACAAATTATAGACACACACACACACACACACACACACACACACACACACAAATGTATGTGATAAAAAGTGTAACGCTTAATGATATCTAGTATATACAGTATTCATAAGTTATTATTTTGAGTCAAATCTTGTTAACAAACTGATTGAACTGGTTCACAAATTCATTCATTAAATGGACTGAATCTGTGAGTGTTTGTATTTTATTTTATTTTATTTTTTTCCTTGGTTTGAATGGAGTTCGCAATGAGCCAAGAACCTACAAATGCTTGAAAGTGAGTGAACCAAGGGTTTGACTGAAGTTTAACGGCATTATTATCTAAAATTAATCCACATATACATATTGGTATTGGTATAAATAATTATGTTAAACAATTCATTTTGGATGAAAGATGTAAATGACTTTTGCTTTTGTTTATTGTAATTGCAAGTTATATTTCGTTCTAAAAGGTTTTATGCTTTGTAGAAGCTGAATCATGACTGCAGTAAACTAAAGTGGGACACATGAAAATGCACAAAAAATTAGCTGAACAATTTGTTCAAATGAACTGGTTAATGGAAAGGAGTCAGATTTTTCATCAGGTTGGGAAATACTGGTTTAAATAATTTAACATTAGGAAAAGAATGACTTCATAGTAGCTTCTTTCACCAAGAAAGACATAACAGATTTAACGTTGAGCGCTGGCATATCAACCTCACTTAAAGACTTGGTTTTATCACCCCCAGACTGTCGCAGTCAATTTTAAAAGCATATTGAGGGTTATCATAAATCACTTAAATTAATATTGTGCTTTACCTAATAAGGTATTTAGGGAATCGTTGGAAGCTTTTGGACATTCTAAAAGCTGGACGGCTCGCACAAAATGCATTTGTTCTTTAAACTCACTTAATTAGTCTAGGCATGGAGCACAGCCGGTCTGCCTGAAGTGGAGATAGCTGGCAATGGAAAAAGTAAGAATGAAAGTGTGTGTAAAGAGTGCCAAGGCTTGCGCAAAAGCTGTATTACATGATAGTGAACATACTCTGATGAAGGGGTCGGTGCATGAATTCAGAGATGGGTTTTTGATGAGGGAACAGGAAGTGCACTTTTGTTAAAGGCTGAATGGCAAGTACTCTGTAAGAGCTGAGGTTGCGGTATAGATTTTGCATGAGTCATTTAAAATGCCTGTGTTTAAAGCAAATGAGGAGTATAGATGAACCTGAGGTAGAGCTGGCAACCTAGTCCTTAAAAACAATGGACCAGAAACCTACGGAAATACATCAGATCTCAAGGACCCTAAATATAGCATTCTTTCCTAACCATGTCCTTACTTGTAAAGTCAAATACTGTGCAAAGTGACAAAATCACAATGGACCCTTTCCAGATTTCCGGGGTTCTCAGAAGC